CTCTCTCTCTCTCTCTCTCTCTCTCTCCACTCACCTTCGTTCTTGATTACCTCTCTGCTACTATACTTTCATCGGATACACAATTTCTCTCTCCCATTTCTTGATTCCTAAATTATTTTCTTAATTTCCACAAGGAAAAAAATAAAATCTATCACTGAATTCCTACATCTTTGTGGGATTTAGGAAATGGAGAAAATTCTGATAGTGAAATTCTCAGTTCTTACCGTTTTTATGATATTATTAGCTTCAAAAAGTGAGTTCTTGGTAGCTGCAAATTCTACATGGGTGGGATCGAAGTATCAAATTGAATGCACAATGTGTTCTGCCTGTGATAATCCATGCAACACTCCGTCACCGCCGCTGTCAGCGCCACCATCTCCTTCACCACCACCGCCCTCACCGCCGCCACCTTCCACTACTATCAAGTGTCCTCCACCGCCGTCTCCTCCTAGCTCAGGCAGCTACTACAACTCCCCACCACCACCTTCACCTCCAGGTGGTGCCACTGGATATTATTACCCTCCACCCTACAAAAGCTACCCTTCAGGGCCAACGCCGCCCCCTCCAAATCCAGTTGTGCCCTACTTTCCGTACTACTACCATTCTCCGCCGCCACCTTCATCATCTCTGCAGCTAAAACATTCATTTTCTTTCTTAATTACTGTTTTTATCTCTTTCTGTCTCTTATAATCAACATAATCCTTTCTTAACTTTCTTGTTAGCAGGAAAAAATCGAAGAAAATGAAAATAAATTGTCAGATTCACAGATCCTTCTCAATTAAATTCAGGGAGTGAAGGAATTTTTCAATTCTCAGTTTCATCGTGCTTAGAAGTAAATTTTTAGCAGAAAAAGTGACCAAAAAAAAAGAGAAGAAGAAGAAGAAGCTTTTAAGTATGATTATCGTCCTACAAATGCACCCCTTTCGATCCATCAGAAGAAGAATTGAAGGCTTTCTCCAAGAAAATTTGAAGCTGATAATGCCTCAAGCAGTGGAATAATCTGTAAATTCTTGACAATTTATGTCTTTTCTTTCTTTCTTTCTTTTTCATGTCTATTATGTACAATCTATATATATATAAGCTTGGGATTATTATGAAGTGTCATTTTCTCATTATTTAAACATCCCTTTCTTTATAATCTGTGTTTTGCAAATTAATTTATATTATTAATAGCATTAATTTTGAATTTCAAGCACCTATAGTGGCTGCAATTTATTGTTAGGATCAAGCAGCAAAATTTTACTCTAGTTACCATTCTGTTGCAATCGTCTTACATTACTTGGGCATGAATACTGTTATATCTCTTCCTTGCTCGACCGGTTACATTTTTAGCATTGTTAGGTTCCGACTTTCAACTACGAACTTTCAAAAAGTTACGGTTTCGTGAAAAGATATATTTATAATTAATTTCAATAATTTTAATTGGTCATAAATTTTTTCTTATTGTCGCACTAGCATTTTCATTTTTTTTTTTTTTTGGGGTCATTTTTTATCTTTAATTTATACATTTGGTCATTAATGAATACGGTTTATGCCAAATACTGTGTCACATTTTTGCATTTCTTTTTTTTATTTAAAAAATGAGGGGCGAATTTTTTCTTTTCTTTTCTTTTTAAACTTTTTTAACATCCCTTCTTTTTTTTTTTTAATGAAAATTTCTCTAAAAACAAGATGGATAATTAATTAAAGGATATAAATAACAATGCATTGAAAAGAAAACTAGTAAAAAGCGATAGAACAAGATGAAAAGAGTTTATTTGAACCCTATTTTTATTGAAGAAAACATTTTAAAATAATAGATTAATAGAGAATGTGTGATTAAAAAAATAATTTTTTTTTGAATTTCATATAATATTATTTTATTAAAAAATATGTAATTAAAAAAAAGAGAAAAATATATTTTAAAAATAATGATATGATCAAACAAGAATAAATATATAATCACCATTCATAAAAATAAGGGAAAATTGTAGCAGCGGTTCCTAACCATTTCATTTTTTACTGATTTTATCATAACTTTCATTTTGTATCAAGATTTTTAACCTTTCATAAATATGCATCTGAGGTCCATTTGGACGAAAATCCTCTAAAACACCGTCAGTTGACCTAGAAAGTTCTTTGAACTATTTGCTCAACGATTTTATTGGATGTGAATACCTTTTTGGACGATTTTATTAAATATTGATTCCTTATTTTTGCCGTTCAACTAACGGTGTTTTGAATGATTTCCATCCAAATAAACTTTAATTGCATATTTATAAAATGTTAGAAATTTCTATTGACACAATGAAGGTTAAAATAAGGTCTATAAAAAATAAAAAGATTAAAGACCGTTGTTACAATTTTCTCTAAAAAATAAGGACAGCACTGTGTGTACAAAGGGATGACTTCACATGGAGCCCAATTTTTGGCAATATTTAATTTACATGAGTCTCACCTTTCATGTGACTATCTGTATAATTTCTGCACAGATATTTACTGTACAAATGGTGTTTTTTTCTAAAAATAAATACAGTAGTTTACGTAGGGCAGTCCAACCTTCAACTGTAAACGACAAATATGCACGTCAGACACGTATACTAAATTATGAACATGCACGTGTCACGGACAATCTTATTTTCCATGCATGGCATGTGAAGTTGAAGCTTATAGAAGAATCTAGAAAAGTACGATCTTCTGAACGTGGACTGACTCGATTGGTCCTTTCTCGCTCGTTTACATTCCTTTATCTAGGCTGTATAATAGTACAACACGTTACGCTGGTCAGCTTATGAAGATCATCTTCAATGAATTGTTAATGCATTCCATGAATTGCTATTTAGGCGAATTTACCATTCTTTCAGTGAAAAATTCACCTAAAATTTGAACAGGAAATATATATACCTGTTTGTTTCTCATTTTTGAAATAAGAAAAACATAACCATTACGAACCCTACACATGAGATAGAAATTCAAATTTAATAACTTGATATGATGAATAACGATCATATTTTTCATTTTAATGCGAAAAGAATTAGAACCAAATAAGGATACATATATATTGATGAGTCACTCTATCTAGATAAATGTCTTTAAAATCTAAGACTTCCAAAAACAATACCTATTTTAACGTGTCAGCAAACTTGACGAGTTATTTTCAACTAGCATTGAAGAGATGTTTTTATAAAATACCCTTTATTCCATTTACATATGACAAATTTTAAAAACAATTCATATTTGTATTTGCATTGAAGACGTTCTTAGAAACGATTTTTTCAACACATTGCCTATTTTTGCATATATTACAGATTTATTTTAAGCAATTCACGTTAACATTGAAGATACTCTTAGATAGAGCAAATTCAACACATCTTGCCTTTACTGACCGGTCTAACCCTTATGATACATCTAGAACTTGCACAAAGCCGGAGAATGAAACCAGGGATCGCATATTAACCGCATAACTCATCGGAACCGACCAAAGCTTTTGTATACTTAGAAACTAATAGCTAAAAATCTCATAACAATCTTTATAAATAAAGCGAACCAGCAAGTTGCCTCTTAAGGCAACGCAATTATTGACCCAGCACGACCTGCATTTCCCTGCGAAGGAACCTAGAAACGATTTCATTACATAGCTATAAATTTCGGGAGGGGTTCACTATGCTACTAAGACAAACAAATGATAATAGAACTGAACTCTTGCTTTCATCTCCCATAACACAAGCAACCAATTTAAGGTCATTGACATATGAACTTAGCAACAGAAAAACAATACCGTTGGGCTCAGACGACAAAAGACAAACAAATAGACGACACTCGCATTTAGGTTAAAAAAAAAAAACCTTGTTCAATTGACAATCATTTCCTGACTTCCCCAACTACTCGACCATACAGGGGAATGAACTAAACAAGACCACCCTTACCAGCCATCTCCATCAACGATGAAAATTGCCCTCCACCCCCCACCTCCTCCAAAGAAAAACCCCATCCCCTTTTTTATTGACCACTATAGCATCAAACGACCAGACTGGGCACCTCCTTAACCACAACAGAGTCTGCACAGGACTAGCAGACTCGGTAAGGTGCTCTGACCCGACTTGACCCCGACTTAGACACAACCAGACCTTCACTTGACTCAACCTGAAGAACTGACCCATCAACCAAACTGAATGACCTGAAAATTTACCAGGGAATTAGTGCTCGGAAATTTCGCTGCATGAAACAACATTGGTTTGGGACATCAAACAGCCCATTAACTCAAAGTTGAATGACAGATGTGGTGCACATCTATGTTTGCTTATATTCCAAATTACCAATAGAAAATGATTTTGAGCATGTTTGGCTAAGCTCAATAGAGTAGAGTAACTTTCGGTTTCCAAATATGTTGAAATAGGTAATCTTTCTAACTAAAAGTAAAAATGTTATTTATTTTGAAAGTAACACTTGCCTTAATTGTCAAAAGAGCATCCTTGCGGTGGCTTACAAGGTGCTGCTTATGAGCCCAAGTAATTTGCTTATTATAGAAACACGTAACTAGCTTGCTTATTTCCAACTCTGAGAAATATTTAAAAAATAATAATACTTATCTCAAAACTTACTTATTTACTTGTAAACTTATATGTTAACTTTTCAATGTTAGCCAAATATGCTCTAATTATCTAATGTAGAGTTTGAGATATTTCACCAATGCAGGTATATATGTATAAGAGAGGAAAGGGAGAGATCAAAGACCAGAATACAAACCTTCAGCTAAAATTGAATCCACCAGGTGGAAGTTGAACATTGTTTTCCCCAAAGTTGAATCCAGACTGAGCCCCATCAGCAGCAGGAAGTGATTCATCCTCTTCTTCCAGCCAATATGTCTCCAGTATTTTCACCGACTTCTCATAAATTTCATTGTTGTCATGGCTCTGCAGGTTTTCGATCTTTTCTAAGCCCTCGACCTCATCTATCAACTGGGCAAAATAATTTACATCTCCCGTGTTGGTCTTTTCTGCTTCCCCAACTTTCAATATGTTTTCTAGTCCTTCTAGACAAACAGTGACAATCCTCGGATCAGGGCACACAAGAAGATCACATAAAGGCTTTATACAATTCTGAGAGACCAAGTACCTACAACCAACAAGGCAGCGTTTGGAGTCGAACAAACGAAGGGAAAGTATTGGTCAATCAATGAAAAAGATAAGGAAAATAGTTACTTAATTTGCTCATTGTTTCCACCAGAAGTGGCATTTGAAATAGCCCATGCAGCCTCTTTCTTTATCTCAAATTCAGCAGTCTGAAGCAGATTGACTAGAGGACCAATTAAACCAGCAGCAATTACAGCCTACCATTCCAAAGAATATTTGTTAAGTAACAAGTGTGATCAATACCAAAGATCGCAGAAAAGGAACCGCAGGATGCAAGTCACCAACACATGGGAATCCAACAGATAGAAATGATCGAGTATATCACCAAATAAAGAACTAAGAAAATTAATGTATGCTGGTTGACTCCTTTCAACATAATCAACTGAAAGATGTCATGGGGGATGAAAATTTGAGAGTGTGCAGTATAATCATAATCATCACTATTTCATGTCAAACAAAAGAAAGATGTTCTCAATCTATGTTCAGAAGTAAATGAACGGAAACAAATTCATAATTTCCTGAGGAAAAAAATAACAAAGAAGAATCCTATAATTAAGATCAGAAACATTAAATTGCTAAGCTTCAGATATATGCCTGTATTTGTTCTCTATTTCCAGCAGTAATATTCGAAATTGCCCAGCAAGCTTCTTTCTTAATGCTCTTTTTATGGTGGTGAGTCAACAGGCTCGACAGGCAAGGAAGTGCACCATGATCAATTACACACTGGAGCAAAACAACAGTACGAGTCAATGAGTTAATATTTTCCACCTCATTCCTTAAAAATGGGCATATTTTCTTTGCATACTGGATATAATAATTATTTTCAATAAATTAGCAGTTGAAACTCGTACTTGAGTTTGAAGATCATCTCCAGTCACAATATTTCCAACTGTGCGCAGTGCGGGAATAAGAACAGAAGGAGATGGGTGGCTGAAACACACGAATATATAAGTGCTTCAAAATTCAACAAATTTGAGAAAAGATTAGTGGTCAACAAATATGAAAAATGACACTCACAGGAGGAGCTCGACGAGCCGTGGGCAGACACCTGCCTCTATCACTGCTTGAATTTTGTCATTTGTCCCATCAGATAGGTATGAGAGAGCCCAGCATGCATCCGTAAGCACCTCTTCATCATTCGAGTGAACAAGACGCTGAAGAACTGGAAGTGCAGCTCGTACCTAAAGAATCCAACAGAAAAGATTATTTAGCATATAAGCAGAAGTTGCTCAATGCAGAAACAAAACAAACCCATGGCTAACCTGATCAAATGGAGGCTGTGGCTTGCCTCTGCAGAAGTTCGAGAGTGTCCATGTGGCATTTCTCAGCATTGAAAGCTTGGCATGCTCATTCAGCTGAGCCAGCAAAGGAATCAAAGCTCCATGGCCAAGGACAAGGTCACGACATCTAGGAGAGTCACCAGCAACATTACCTAATGCCCACACAGCCTACCATTAAGACCAAAATAAAAGGACATATGCAGTTAGTCAAAGTTATTATACATTGTGGAAGATAAATGATACTCAATCGGTCAAATGCTTTATCTATTGTAGCTGAAAAATCATGACTTAGTATATTCAAAATTTGGAAAAGATCCAAACCATTTACCTGCTCACGAACATCATCACTCGGAGAACCCAGAAGCCTTACAAAAATTGGGACTGCGCCATGATCAATAACCACCCTGGTGTTCTCCGAGGTTCCAGACGCAATGTTTGTAAGTGCCCAAGCAGCCTCAAACTGTGCAAAGTTCACAAAAAAGAAAATTACACACTACAATATAAACCAAACATGTAAGAAGGAAATAAAAATCAGATAATACAACTCGCACCTGAAGCTGGGGAAAATCCTCCCTAGTAAGGAACTCAACAAAGCGTGGAACAACACCGGACTGTATTACTTCCTCAATAGGAGGGCTTCGTTCTGTTAATTTGATCCAGACAGACATTACAAGTGGTCATCAGGAAACCTTTAAAGGACAAGTATCAATAAAATGAATGACAAGCCACACCTATCGAAAGCAATTTACGAAACTGAGTAGTTGCTTCCAGCTGCAAATTACTATCATTTGACAAAATCCCAGTAGTCATAGAAGGAAGACTCTCCAACTGCAAACCAATCAAACCATTTATTGCTATTCAAACAACATCATTATTCAACTCCTATTCATTAAAACAGAAAACCAAAAAGCAATCCCCCCCCCCCCCCCCCAAAAACAAAAAAACCCCCCCCCCCCCCCCCCAAATCAATCTCCAATATTTAACGTAAACCCAGACCAAACCTTTTAAAAATCCCAAATTTCAATCCCTGAATCGCCCATATAGTAGTAATATTCTAACAACCTGCTCTAGCCCTCCATTTTCACAGGAAAGCTCAAAACTTCCTCACAAATCATAAACTGTATACACAATTTCCCGGCCCCCATCAATCGCCAATAAACCAGACCTAACCTTTCAAGAATCTCAAATTTCAAATTCATCAATCACACATAGAGTTCTAATAAACCTGCTCTAGCAGGCGAAACTTCACTGACGATTAGTAACTAATACTGTCAATGATCAACTATAAATTCCACTATATACTACACTTACACAAAAGCACATACAGATATTATACTAATATTAGAATAGATGATTAACGACCAAAACTAGAAAAACAAAACCTTCTTTTCGACCGCAGACTGAAGAGAAGTGGAGAACTGCTGCTGCTGTAATTGAAGGCCTTCGCGGCGCTTTTTGAGTAAGCTTTCCTCGCGCTTGCTCTTGCGGATCTCCACCATGTTGTCCTCCCTCCGCCGCCTCCCTTCCTCCGCATCCACCGCCACTTTGTACCTGTTCCGCCGCACCTCCGTCCTTGCGCTTGGCCTCAACGACATCGTTTCTTTTGTCTAAGTTATTTTCCCTTTGAATAAAACCCTAGTGTATTAAATACATATACACTATTCAAAACTTCGATTGATCAATTATAATCAACAAACAAAAATCCTGAATATACACACAAATACCTTGAATACTAGAGAAGGGAGAAATGGAGAAGAAAGATGCTGAAGGGTTTTCTTAAAGCGAAAGTTTTCAAAAGGACCTATCTTGAAAATGTTTAAACTGGAAATTAACCCTCTATTGATTAGTCTTTTCTAAAAGGACTTTTTGAATATGTTGAATAATTATTTTATTAAAAATAACCATTTCGAGGAAAAAGATATCAAATCTAGCCTCACTAGTAACCACGGTGACCACCAAGTCTAAAGCATTAAGCATGGTTGGCTAGGGCTAGTGTAAAAGTAAAGCCTCCGTTTGACCCCAATTTTTCGAAAATGAAAATAGGTGAAATAGTGTTTTTTATTTAAATGAGTGATTGAAAATGAAGGAAAAATTTTCGATTTACGTGTAATATTATTTGATGAAAAATTGTGTAGTTAAAAATAAGAGAGATAAAAATAGAATGTAATGAAATAAAATTTAACAGGGCCAAACGGGGGCAAATTTACTTATAAATGACATATAATTGAGCTTTAAACATTATTTTTAAGGTCCCATTTTATTCTCATTTTTGGAAGAATGAGAATGAAAAATATAGTCGTTATGGGACTCACATAAGAAATAGAAAGTCAAATATGGTGGCTTGATGTGATGGATAACGGTTATATTTTCATTTTTATAGTCAAAGAATGAGAATAAAACAGGGGCTAAGGGCCCATTTGGTATCCATTTTTTTTCAAAATACATTTTCTCTCTCTTCTTTTCAACCACACATTTTTCATTAAAATAATATTACGCGTAAATAAAAAAATTTCCCTATTTTTCAACCACACATTTCCTATCAATTTACTATTCCAAAATGTGTTTTTAAATAAAAATGGTTCCCAAACAGCTTCTAAATAACTTTTTTTTTTTTCATTTTAGACTTTATTGAAACTACTGACAAAAGTGAGAGCAAAATTTATAAAATATATTAGAAACGGATATTGTTTTGTTTATATGAGAAAAATGTACCTAATAGTTAAATACCTTTTTGAGCCCCATTATTTTCTAATAATTCATTTTTTTGAATAATAGATTGATGGAGAATGTATAGTTAAAAAATAATAAATTTTTTTGAATTTACATATAATATTATTTTATTATAAATGTGTGATTAAAAAGTGGAAAGAGAAAAAAGTAGTTTTTAAAAGAATGAGAATCAAACAAGGACTAAACTTTCAAGATGAAACTCCATATTAGAACATGTGGTATCTGAGTGATGTTGTGGAACTTATTAATGTATGGTACAAGATCAATCTCCATTACAATTGATGTTGATGATTCTCCAATTCGTTCTCGAAACGGTTCAAAAAATTGCAAGCAAAAAATCTAAATATCATAGATATGGATATTGTTTATAATAAAATTGGGCTTAAAATTTAACCAATTTTGGTTCTCATTATTTTCAAAAATTTATTTTTTTTTCAAAATCCATTTTTAACCATATATTCTCCAATAAAATAATTTTACATGTAAATTGAAAATTTTTCTTTATTTTTTAATTACACATTTTTTAAAAAATCATTATTCTAAAATACATTTTTTTACCAAAAAAATAGAACTCAAACAAGAGCTTAAACTCCCAAGATGAAACTCCAAATCTAAATTGGTATCAAAGTCATAATGAAATTTATTTTTGTAGACGTACAAGATAAATCTATAGTAGCAATTGGATGAAGTTGGTGATAAAAATAATATATATATTTGTCAACACATAAAGGAACGTATTAAAAATAATATTCAAATAATATATCAAACTTCTCTTAAAAAGGGGAAGTAGTTGCTACTGTAGAAGGAATAGTAAACTAATCCCAAGTTACTGTACAAGAGAAAAAATGACATCATTTTTAATTTTTTTTAACTTTTCCATTCTCCATTTTCATACATTATGGCCATGCCTTTTCTAATATCTAGAGATGCAATATCTACAATAATATTTAATCCTATTCTTTTATCCCATCCCAATTTTAACAACTTCAAAATTATTTCAATTTCAACACGTAACCATCGTTTCCATTTCTCTTTCTCCTCCCTACAATCTTCTGTTTCTCCATTTTTCACACAAAAATCAGAGACTACAAGCAAACCATTTTTCACGGAACACCGGAGGCGCAAAACAGGATTTCATTTTTATTACTTTTCTGAGGTGCTCTTCCTACAATTTTGCCTTTTTTTATTTTTATTTTTTTACGAATTTCTCTTGCTTTAACCCTAATCTCTCTCTCTCTCGATAGTAGGAAAAAATACAAACAATTTGCAAGAATTGAGACATGTACCGGTAAGTATACTTCTCACACCTTCAATTTCTTACTCTTATGTATGTTTCTTCTTATTTTCAAGTTGTGTTGTTGAATGATCGATTTTTCCCCATTTTTTTTCGATCTTTTAAGAGATCTGACCCAAATCAAAGCAAAAAACCTTTGGTAGGTGTTTCCCTATATAAGTTTGAGCTTCAGATTTTGTGTAATTTGGTTATAAATTGGGTTTTAGACTGAGCTTGGTTTCATTACATATTATGATCAAAATGTGCTTCAAAATGGTGATATTTTGAAGCTATCCTGAAATCTTCATTTTCTTCTTTTTGTTTATGGTTGTTTCATTTCCTTCAACCTATATTTTTTATGTTTGATCTTTTTCTCTCTATCTTTGTTCCAAGTTTAACGTAACCTCCCCAAAAAAGTGGAAATTTTGCCTAGAAATTGGTAATTGGCTCTCAACTTGTAACTCTAATTTTCGCTGACGATGGCCCCCTTGGTGGGCCTGCTTGTCATTCGATAATGGGGTTTGGATAGATCAGAGTCTCAACTTGAAGCCCAGTTTTAAAGAAATTGTGGATAATGTTTACAAGGCAGCTTCTAATCATGTTGATTTTCAAACTAAGGTTAGTTTAATTTCTATTTTCAATAATAAAACTCATTAACCTGTTTATTGTTGATTAAGGTTGGAATGTCTCCTTGTAACATTTTTTGCTTATTATTGGTGTCAGGAGGTGGTTTGTATGCTGTCAAATTTCATTTTTTTTAATCGAGACTCTATTGTGTATGTTTCTAAAATTCAATTTGATGGTTTTGACACAATTAATATGATTACTTTTGGGCAAAATAGGTGACAAAATTTTCAAAACTAATTTCAAAAATTATTACAATTGGTCAATTTCATCCATTTTTAATTAGTTTGGTTAATGAGAAAGCTGTTTCTTGCAATTGAATTGTTGAACTTAAAATTTATTGCAATTGGTTGTTTTATCCATTGTTTTTTAATTTTGTTAAGGGAAAGCTGGAGTGGATGTCTAGTATTACTAATGAAAAATGAATTTAGTTCAATTAGTTAAACTACTTTTGCTCGTTTCTATAAATTGTTTGTGAACACTCTTTTTATTTACACATTTTGAGGAACCACTCATTTCTATCCATTTGTAATTTGAACTGTTTAAAAACCTAAACACATTATTATGTAAATAAACACAAGCAAGTTTAGCTGGGGGAATTTGAGCTTGAATTAAATATAGATTTTGGAATTCCGTTGACAAACTTGTTTGGTCCGAGTCAGTATTTCTCAAAGAACGATTTGTTCATTGTATGAATTTTTCCAAGTTTCAATGGAATTGAGTTTGATCTTGGCTATTCAATAAATCTTGGTTATTAAGTTGCAATTAACTTGAACTTCATGTTAAATATCTTCTCTGATGATGAATAAAAATGGTTCGACTTCTTCTTAAAGCAAAAAATTTGACTTCTCTGATGACAGACAAAAACAAAAAAATTTGACTTCTCTGATGAAATTACTGGGGTACTGCTATTCATCGGGCACGTTCTTAATCATCTTCTTGGCTAATCGAATGTACCAAACTAGACTATTACATATACATAGTCTTATACGATCGATTGAGGTTTGTATTTTTCTAATTCCGAAAGCTTCAACTAGCTGTGCTTATGATACTGTATTTGTTGCCTGTCATCCAGTTTCTCTTATTTTTGTAAAGGTGGTTCCATGCATACACTTGACTATTATGTGCTCTCTATTATTTTTATATGAGCATTTTTTAAGACTGATCAACATATTTCTTTTCTTAAATTCATTTCATCTTGAAACTGGAATATTGATTGCTAGAATGCCCTTTACATTGATGTGAAGTCAGGACTTAATAACGCTTTGGCTTTCACGTCTGTTGAGGAATTCAATAAAGCAACACTGTATGTTTTAGTTCAAAAAGTGTTGGGAGATTATAAATTTTTTGCTCCATTGGAAGGGCCTTCATTTCACTATGCTAACAAAATTGAGTTAATCATTTGCTTTCTCTACTCTACATGGGCATAGATTACTTTTCTGATGAGAATTAAATTAGAAAAGCCCATATTGATAGTAGAATGAGCGCTTAAATTATATATAACATATATTAGACTTTTTAAATGTGTTTAAACGTTAGTAATTTATTGAAGCACCAAATTTATAGCCACGAATAAGCATATCTAAGATCGTTTCAAAGTTGCCCTCCAAATCTGTGCTTCATTGTATGTTAGTTAGCAAATCATAAGACAATGTATTTTTAAACTGTTAATTACCGATGTATCTTCTATCTTTACTCCCCTTTTTGGGATTTTTTTTATGATCAATGTTGCTAATGAAATGTTATTTATTTGCATTGCAGATTTTGTTGGTTTCTTTCAGTGATGCCATATTTATTTCAGGTTTAATAAACTTTTAGATTCAAACTCATTTTCCTAATTCTGTGGCCTCGATTTGATTATATTTATAGTGGTAATTGGGAAATAAGTTGAAGAAAAAATATTTCTTCTCTGTATTCCTATTATGGTTGACAATTTCACTTGTTTACTGGTCAGGATTTACTATTTGAATAAGGGTAATTATAAATATATATTTTGCCATTTACTATTGTGATGTCTTTGAAGTTTATTTGACCAAAAGGTATTGAAAATGGTTGCTTTGTGAAAGCTTAATGTTAGTTAAATTGGTCGGACCTTGTGTACAATAATTTGATTTTTGATTATATGCTGGTTTATGGACTCAATGGGTCATTTTGTCTCTATGTTGCCCACTGTTTTGGTGTCAC